GAGGCCAACTAGCCGCAATACCTCATATGATTCGTCCATTCGAGCAACACGTCTTCTGTCCCCTTTCTACCACACTCGCCCAGCTTGTCACCAAGGGGTGTGAGCTTCTGATACTACTCTTCAGACAACGGTCTCCTGCTTTCTCCTCTGCTTGTATACAACCCGCGTATTCGTTTGACTGAAAATGGCCGAGTGGGCAGATAAGCTTGAGGGTTACACTGGGAATCTTCCTCTCATTTCCTATGGCGTCTCCGGCGCAGTGCTCGTCTTGGATGACAAAACCGTCATCAAAAACTTCATTGGTGGTGAAGAAAGGAAGCTTGACGAAATAATTGAGCGGGAGATATACGGGCGCCTCGGTCATCACCCTTCTATCGTCAAGTGCATGGAAATGCACCACAAAGGAATCATCCTCGAAAGGCTCGAATGCTGCCTGCGTCAGCGCCTTATTGAACTACGGCAGAGAAATGAACTCCCGACCAAAGGACAAATTCTGAAATGGTCCAGGCAGGTCAGCGAGGGGATACAATATATACATGGGAAGAATGTCTTCCAGGTTGACATTGGAACTCACAATATTCTGCTCGACAACCAAGACAACGTCAAACTATGTGATTTTGCCGGCTCTTCAATAGACGAAGGGGACTTTACCGTAGTTCCTGGGGGGTGTGAGGGGTTTCACTTGTTTCACAAAAAAGGCACCAAGCCAAGCATACACACGGAACTGTTTGCTCTGGGTTCTGCCATCTTCGAGATGTCGACAACGTGGCGGCCCTACCACGACAAGACAGACAATGAGATTAAAGCGCGGTATGATGCCGGCGAGTTTCCAGATACGGACGACCTGATTTTGGGACCTGTTATGCGAAAGTGCTGGTCCTTCCAATACAGCAGTGCCGCCGAGGTTGTGGACGAGATCGACAAGATCATAGCCGAGTGTTCACCGTCGACATATGATGGCTGGTCACAAGAGGCCGCCCAAGAAGGCGAGCAGATGGTGAAAAGTTCTCTGGAGGTGTCACGGTGAGTCTGCTCTTGATAGGAACTGTGGAGAGTTGTTAATCAAAGCAGGACACCATCGATCGTCTCTGGTCTGCTCGTTTTGGCGGCTGTGGTGATCATCAGCTCACATATCTCTCAACGTTCCCGACTGGGATAGGATAAGGGAGTTGGGACTATATGGTTTCCACTATTTGTGTGGTTCAAGACATGATGGTCACTCAACTGCGCGCCGACAATCTCCCGAGCAGCAATCGCCGTGAAGTCGACGAATCCTGTAAGATATGGAAAGCTAGATGAGACTGGAGTCTAGCTGCATGGTGATGTATGGCTAGAGAAACTCGGGAACGGAGGCACAGGTTGACATTGGGACTGACGGATATGTGTGAAGTGGAAAATGCGGGGTTCCCTGCGCAGCCAAGGAAACCTTCCCTGCGCCCACTCGCACCAAAGCAAAGAAGGCGGTGATCAGCATGACAATCTTTGCCGTCATCATCGTCGTCGACCCTCTACCGCTTTCGTCCTTCCTTTCTTCCCTTTTCGTCCTGCGTCACCGCATGCTTCAACAGCTCCATGATATTGACAAGGTCGACCTTGTCTCCTGCTCGAGGAATGGGCTGAGCGCATGTTACGTCTTTCTTTTATCTTGCGTCCTTCGTGCTATTGTACCCGTGTCTTACATTGGATATTCTTTTCATCGGCATACAACACAGGTCATCCTCGCAGGGTGGCGCTAACATAACGCTCTCATCAGATCTCACCCATACGATAGGTCCCTAGACCGTGCGACAACAGTATGGCGACTCATACCGAAGTCATCACACCCTCGGCCTCGCGCACGACTCCTGCCCTCGTGCGCCGCCAGTCCTCGTCTCACTCGATTCAGAAAAAGCCATGGCAGCATAATCATCGACCGTCCTTCCACTCGACTAACTCCCGTCCTGATCCTGAAGAGATTCAACGCCTCTCGGAACACATTTCGCGACAGACCACTCGGTCATCGCACCGGCGCACCCCGAAATGGTACAATATACGTTGGTTCAAGGGCATAGTTGACGACCTCAAGAGACGGGCACCGTACTATTGGAGTGATTGGAGGGATGCTTGGGATTATAGAGTCATCCCCGCCACCGTGTACATGTACTTTGCAAAGTATGCTAAATCCATATACAATCTACCGGATGCACCAACTTTATACACCTTATGTCCTTGATATCCTCCCTCTTCGCTAATGCCCATGGACTTCTATGCTGCTATGATGTACAGCCGCTGACTGCTATCCCAGCATCTTACCAGCTTTGGCATTCTCCCTCGACATGTTCACCAAGACCCACAACTCATACGGCGTCAATGAAGTCCTTTTCTCCTCAGTCATGGCGTGTGTGGTCTTCTCTCTTTTCGCCGCGCAGCCTCTTGTCATCGTAGGCGTTACTGGTCCCATCACCGTCTTTTCGTATACGGTGTACGACATCATCGTCCCCCATGGCACCAATTTCTTTGCCTTCATGGCCTGGATCGGCATATGGTCTCTGCTCATGCATTGGCTTCTGGCCATCACCAACAGTTGCAACGCCTTGACCTACGTTACGCGCTTCAGTTGCGACACCTTTGGGTTCTACGTTGCCTTTATCTATCTGCAAAAGGGTATCCAAGTCCTGACCAGACAGTGGGGATTGGCTGGCGAAACCAGTGCCTACCTGTCTGTCATGGTCAGTCTGCTGGTCCTTGGGTTTGCATATGGATGCGGTGTGCTCGGCAACAGCAACCTGTTGCAACGACATGTGCGGAAATTCATCGAGGACTACGGCACTCCGCTGACAATTGTCTTCTTCACCGGATTCGTCCATATCGGCCATATGAGGAATGTACATCTCGAAACCCTGCCGACGAGCAAATCGTTCCACCCGACTGCTGACCGTGGCTGGTTCGTCCACTTTTGGGATATCAGTGTAGGAGAAGTCTTCCTGGCAATCCCTTTCGCGATCCTTCTGACAGTCCTGTTTTGGTTTGATCACAACGGTATGTGCCACGCAGCTGACTCTGGAACCGTATTCATCTGACCAATGTCCTTAGTGTCGTCTCTCATTGCACAAGGGACAGAATTCCCGCTGCGCAAACCGCCGGGGTTTCATTGGGATATCTTCCTCCTCGGTCTCACCACCGGCATCGCGGGAATTCTCGGCATACCTTTCCCAAACGGCCTCATCCCTCAGGCACCATTCCATACTAACGCTCTTTGCGTCACAAGGCAGGTTGTCGACGAGAAGGCGAGGGGTCATATCGTCCGGGTCACGGATCACGTCGTTGAGCAGCGCTTCAGCAACCTCGCGCAGGGTCTCTTGTTCCTGGTCACGATGAGCGGGCCGCTACTGGTCGTGCTACATCTGATCCCACAGGGTGTGCTTGCCGGACTGTTCTTCGTCATGGGAGTCCAAGCTCTCGAGGGCAATGGCATTACTCAGAAGTTGCTTTTCCTGGCGCGGGACAAAGAGTTGACAGACGCGACGGACCCGCTGGCACGAATCGAGCGTCGCGCCGCCATCTGGGTCTTTGTGGCGTGTGAATTGGTCGGATTCGGCGCCACCTTTGCCATCTCCCAGACCATCGCTGCCATTGGGTTTCCCATCATCATCCTCCTCCTGATCCCGTTCCGCACGTGGCTGATGCCCAAGTGGTTCCGGGACGAAGAACTCCGGGCCCTGGACGCACCCACTGCGGGCGCCTTTGTCATGGAAAGCGTGGGCGGCGCGTACGGCGAGAGTGGAGAGAGCACACCATCACGCGCCGGAGGAACATCGCCTCCAGACGAGTCCGACGAAGTCGCCGTCGTGGACGATTCGCTGGAGCGAGGCGAGAGCCACGAATTACAGAGCGTTCTGGCCAACAAGAGATCATCGCCAGAGACTGCGAGTATCGCAACGAGGCGCACCGGAAGTCACGGCGAGACACCCCGCCCCGACGTGGGCATGACGAGACGAAGTCGCAATTCCCTGAACAGATGAGAGGAAGGAGAATGGCTGGAGATGTACAGCAGCAGCCGTCTCTCGCCTCCTGGAAGAACAACAAGAAAAGACTAGAATCAAAAAGGGGGAAGGTTCACCACATGAGATAAATGATGGAGAGATCTACAAGAGTTAGACACTCGGATATATACACATGGACATATAAAGAGACGGTAGCGGTGACACGAGGACCATATTACGGTCCTTAGTGCTATACATTGCGGGCGATCAAATGGCCCGAAAACGATCCAGTGGAGAACGGTCTGACGAGACGGGCAAGGGAGTCAGAGACGGAAAGAGACCCAGAGGAGATAGGCGAGAGTACAGAGAAAGAGAAAGAGACCTGTTGCGGAGGGGCGAGGACATGAGGAGAGAAGGGGAGAAGATTCTACACATACAAGAGTCAGTCGAGACGTCGTCGACAATTACAGCATCTCACTCTCTATCAGAAACCAAAAAGCGAGCGAGCAAAGGTATCATCTGGAACGTAGGATCACCTTGATTAGGTCCTGTGTGTTTGTCGTCCCAAAGACAGAAAATGGTTCATCAGACATTTATCTATCTGTGTCCCTCTCTCTCTCGCTCGCCTCTCTTTCTTCGACTCGGCTCAACTCCATTCCTCGCCTCGCCTCGCCTCGCCACGCAACACTCACTCAAAGCTCAGAAGTACTGCTCACGCTTTGGGGAGAGGAGAGAGAGAGAGAGAGAAAAGAAGGCCCCTGGTTCCTGATTAAACGCATAGCCATCCATGCGTACCCGTATCCATGTCCGTATTCCGTATTCCGTATTCAGTATTCAGTACATCAATCACACCGTCGCAGTACCCTCTAATACCTCAATACCTCAATACCTCTAATACATCATCTCTAGTGGAATCAATTCAACCCCCCCCAAAAAACCCACAGAGTTACAAAAACAAAATAAAAAACCAACATCAAATTGGAACTCGCTTCGATTCGCCGCGCTGTTCTTCGCTGTCCTTTCATCCTTCTATCAGGGTCACAGTTCGGCTCCAAATCTAGCGGCGCCGGAAGCGAACCTGCGCCATTGTTGTGCCAGATCAGACGCCAACGCCTTGCAAGTCACGTGCCAATCGTGTAGAGGCCTCGCGAGGCCCCAGTCCTGGCCGGCAGTACCGTCCCCGCCCTCGGTCGCGCTCCCGATAGCGGCAGCAATCATTCCTTTCAGGGACATTCCGGTGTGGTGGTCCAGCTGGACGATGCCGACGAGGACCAGCAGGCTGAAGAGGCTGCAGGCCGAGATGACGTAGAGGCACTTGAGGCGGAGGATCTGGCGGCGGCGGCGGTCGTCGCGGTCGTCGTGGTCGGCCGAGAATATGTCCTGCTGCGTGCAGAAGTATGCGAGCATCAGGCCGATCGAGATGGCGATCCACGCGAGCAGGCTGCGGCTGAGCTGGAGCAGGTCCGGCTCCGTGGCCCGCGTGGCCCGGAAGATCTGTAGGCACCCGAACGACAGCAATATCGAAAGGCTGCACAGCCGCACCAGCACCGCTAAGGGGCTGTAGTGCAGCAGCCACCGCGACATCAGTGACGACGCGAACATGTGTGCGAGGTATGCTGCAGCGCCGGCCTGGAGACGTGGCAAAAAGAGAAGAGACGGCCAAGTTAGCGATGAGCCGGCCTGGTTTGGGTTTGTGTAGATAAGGAAACATGGAGAGGCAAGAGAGAGAGAGTTTTTCGCTTCCTCCACGAGAGAAGACGAGGCTGAGCCGAGGGTATATAGCATTCCAAACTGGACCACCGTTGCAAGCTGCATCCCTGGGCATTGCAAAACGGGATGAAAATGGATGGCGTATAGAACTCCAGATGCGCCGCAAAAGGGAAACGAGGATGCGAGGACAAGACATACCCAGAGAAAGCTCAAGCATACTTGTGCCACAGCCATGCGCCTGAAGATCCGATTCTCCAAAAGCAAACCACAAGGTCCAGGTCCAGGTCCAGCACTACCGCTACCACCGACACTCGTCCCACCACTGACACCTGCTGACAACGTGGAGATGGAGGACGCCGCTGTCACTCCCGTCGTGTCGTAGACCGAGATGAGTCGATAGATGCTGAAACAGGTCTGACAAGCCCACCACGCGGCCGACACGGTCGAGAGGGCCCGACAGAGCAGCAGCGGCACGTGCCAGCGAGGCTGGACGCCCAGGAGGACGGCTACTCGGGGATATCGAGCTGACATGGCGACACTGGCGATGTTGGCATTCTCGACGACGGCGCCGCCAGGCGCGGGGCCAGGCTGGGCAGTCGGAGGAGAGCGGGACGGGTTGGTAGGGTCAGTAGGAGCATAACGGAGGCTCCCGTTGCGTGGAACAAAAGCATCGCCATATGATGGTGGGCCCTGATAGCCCGAGTTCGCCAGTTGGAAAATGGGTTTGCAGCGCTATGGCGGCTGCATAGCCCCTGGTCAGGGTGTTGTGAGGTCGTCCCGCCCTTGCAGCCCAAGTCAAAACAATAAATCTCTTTCTAATTCCAAGGCAAAGCTCAAACTCCCTGTTTCAGAAACGTGAAGGAGGACTCCGAAGTCGTGTCAGGGCGAGGAAACAGCCATTCGTCAACAAGGGTGAAGATAAAGGTGGGAAACGGCGTAAGGGAGAAGAGGCGCGTGACCAGTAGTTATATGACTGTAAGTTGTCCTTGTAGATACGATAAGAACAGCACCTGAAACCACACAAGAGTCACAGGCCGCTCGCCGCTCGCTTTAAATTACCCCAGATTCTTGGCAGCAGATCCAGTCCAGCAGCCCCCAGCTGGTACCTTGATCTCAACCCACGGTACAAAGTGGTTAGTACATGTACGCAGTGGTTGAGCCAGAGAGGGCGTTGATGGCGTCTCGACCGAACTCCAGAACAGCTCCATCGTGTAGAACGGGAACTCCAACGAAAGAATGGAATGATTGAGACAGCCAAAGTGAAACGTGTTGTTTCCAACACTCCGATAATGATTTCAAAGCTACCGTGCACGGTCTGGTGGGATCAATGATAGAAACCAGCCCAACCCTGCCATCTCATGTTCCCCAGCCGTATGCCGTGAGTGTCTTCTTCATAGCCATGTATTGCTGCTTCCTATCCCATGCCGCAACAGTCCGATCCCACCCCCATTCCTTGCCAAGGCAAAATATCCATCGTGGGTATCATCAAACGCGTAACCTTGTCGCATCCCAAAGGTGCTATCGTGACCATGCCACTGTATCGACCAGCGAAGACGAACAGGCCAGAAGACATCGTTCAAACGAAGATTGATTTGGAGCTCCATCGACAACTTCTATCTGTCCTCGAAGGCCGAGCATGATAGCACAGGATACCGGCTGAGGCGTTTAGAAACCATGGACCTGGATGAGTATTAGTAAGGCGTCGTTGCGTATGGCGCAGTAGAATCTCCTTACCTTGATAGTCTTTGCATCGAGCTCGAGGCCGTCCTTGGCGACCAAGAATTCTTGAACATCTTTGCGCTGGTCACCCTGGAGCTGGATCACCTCGCCCATCTCGCTGTCTGTGACGATTGTGCCATTGCAGGCTGGAGTCATTGTCAGCCATAGTCCTTTGTAGTCCCTTATCTCTTTCACATACCGAATTTCTTCTTGATGACCTTGAGGATCTTCTTCTGGTCGAATTTCTTCGGAAGGCCTTGGACGGTGGTCAGAGTCTTACGACCATTGCGCTGCTGGATACGAATGTGGATGTAATTCTGGGATTGCTTCGCTTCCCCAGTGTCGTCGTCGGCCTCCGCGAAGGGGTCTGTGACATAAAATCAGTGAGCCATGAGTCACGCAACAAGTCGCTAAACAATTGCTGCTGTACACGAGGGTCGTGGTGGTCGACAGCGGGTTTCGACCATGCTCTCAAACAGTCGCTCCAAAATCTGGTGCTGTCGAGGCACACGATAGAGGCGAGTTGTTTGGGCGATGAGCGTCGGCTGCGAGGTGGCGAGAGGGGGTGAGAAGAGGGGTCGGCTTACCAAAGGTTTTGAGGTTTTGGATAGTTGACATAAACTCGTTTGTCTCGAGGAACGGGCTGGATTGGAAAGAAAAGTGTCGGTGATGAGAAGTTAAGGACTATTCAATGTCCGGAGTGCAAGCGAAAGAGTTGTTGTTGAGTGGAGAGTGTGGTGATGGATTGTTGGTTTTGTTTGAGAAGGAGAGAGAAAAGGGAACGGGGGCAGGAAAAGGGCTGATGCAAGAGGCGAACCACAAGAGGCAGCAGTGACTGGTTGGGCGCAGGCCATTTGGTGGGGTTGGCTGGTTGGGCAAGGGAGGAAAGGAACCCGAAAGAATCACTGTCACCATTCTCTTTGACACACAATGCCCTTCCTCCCCTAAGCCGCACCTGTGCGTTACGGGCGCCAAGGCCTGGAACAACGCTGGTTGTGGCTGCTACGGCCACTCCCTAAACCTGTGGCAAAAATCATTGGCGGGCTCTAGGTTCCAACTTCTAGGTCCCACACACGGTGATTGGGGACTTGTTTTCTACATGAGGCTCATCCCCGGGGACCAGAGGTGATGGCATGTGACGATATCGAGATACTGATCCCATTCAGTTACTTGATTTCCACGACCAAGATCTGGACTTGACCGGCATCGCTTTTGTAACATTTTATTCCATAGCCGCCATTGCACGCTGCCCTCAAACTCCAGAGCACAAATCGTGGAGGGAATGCTTCCATACATTGCCGCGCTTGTCGCAAAAGCCACCAATTGATCTATACAGGATTTCTTGGCCGTTCTCCCCATGGAATCCCCCAATGCTACTTGGACCAATCGCTATGTTGAAGCGGCGGGTGCCGGCGTTGCTGGTCCTCTTGCGTTTGGTGGTGGCGGTAGAAACAGGGGCATATATGTCTGGAATGTATGAGTCGGTGCTCAGCGCTGAAGGTTGAACAGTAACACAACATACCACACCAACAGCAAGCACTTTCAGATCCATTAGCCTCAGATCCATGAACGCAAAGACTGTTCTGGACTCACCAGCCATGCCAAAGGACATATATGCGGGCGTCCCGTTAGGACTCTGTCTCTGGGCCGGTGTCTCTCCCAACCAGTTCAACAGTGCTGTTAATAGAGAAAACCTGATCCTGTCAAGTCCAAACCACGATCATGTGTTCATCCCTCTTACCAGCCAAGCATCCTGATTGTCATTGTCAGCAATAAACAATGCGTATCAGAGGTGCTGTCCCTTACCTATTTCTTGTAAACATCTACTTTCGTCATTAGCATTCGGAAGCACAAAAAGTAACACAATCCACTCACAGCTGCCATAGGCATGGTGCTCGTTATAGTCGAGCTGAAATCGGTGGGCTTCTCATCTTTGGGCTCGACGTAGGGAATGACTGAGCGAGCGACATTCGTCAGAGTGCGCACTCTTCAATGCGACCGATTCGAGATACTGACCAAGGTCCGCCCTTCGCATGTCCTTTTTAGCAGACATGGCTGGAGTCTGGTGAGGTCAAATGTCCTTTCAGGCAAGTGTATACAAAATGGATCTCAGCTTCGAGAGCGAGACTCGGCCAACAGCTTCTTTGCTAGTCACGTCTGGACATACTGAGCTCGCCTTAAGCGGCAAGTCTGGCGAAATCACGTGGGCCAAATCGAGGCTTTCGGATTAGAAAAAGCGCCGCTCTTAAAATCATGGATGCGGGCGCTCTGGGAAGTATAGGACGGCGTCCTACTTGTCTTCATTCGGACATTGACTGCGCTCCCGCTCTCTTTTCTTTTCCCGGAGCTCTGTTGGCCTTGTAAAGGACGCTCTTCAACAGGCGAAGTCATCTTTTCTGTGAGCCTGGTCAAGATGGCACATCCTGTTGCCAGAGCCTCGAGCAAGGGTCTCAAGTTATCGTTACCCCTAACTCCCTCAGGTCGAACCCTCCAGATCTGCCCTCAATGCGCGCATCGTTCACCCTCAGTCTACGCCCGTCAGTTCACCACCACTCGACGCAGAAATGCAGCCGCCGGAGTCGCCCATAGCATTCCCAACATAGACTCCAAGCTCCCGAAACATGTGTCGATGAAAAGTCAGATGAAAAAGGCCAACAGGCAACAGATAGGTACTGATTTGGGAAAACTACCCCAGACCTTCATCCTACCTGCCACCAGGGACCTGCCAGGTTGGATGAGCCCAGCATTCATCAAGAGAACGAGGATACATTGGCTACAATTCAAGACTGCTGTCAAAGATTGGTGGAGGTAAAGATGTGACTCCTTTCTGCAATCTGTGTCATGGCTGACTTGCTTCATAGTTTGGTGGTTTTCCTCAAATGGGATGTCAAACGGGACCCTCTCACGGGAAAAAAGCTGAGAAAGCCATTGGAACTTTCCCAGAGAAATCAAATTGCGCGGGGCCTGCACAGGGAATTTCATGAGGCTTTGGGGGAAGGAGACATGAAAAGGCTACAGGTCATTTGCTGCGAGGGTCTGATGGCGCAGGCGAGAATGCGAATTGAACAACGAAAGGCCATGGGCCGCTCGAAAGAACCTTGGTCGCTCTTGAGTTACTCGGGCATTCGATATCCTGTTTGGCTTGAGAGGTGGCCCCTTGCGGTATTTCTGCCCCGGGCAAGCACCAGGGTTGTCTCGGATCGGCTCGCCCCTTTGCCATTCCCAGATACATTTCTCCGACAGTGCATCGTGCGCATCAGCAGCATTCAGAACTATCGGCTCGCCGACAGTGACAAGGATACCGTGCTAAAGCATGTTGATTACGTGGTGATACAAAAGATGACTGCCATGGGTGAAGAAGGCCCTTGGAAGCTATGGGGTCTTACGGAGCCGTCCACAATAAAGGAGATCGATAGCTTGCTGGAGGGCAAAGGGCAGGAATCGGGGACTACCCTTGCCGAGAGGATACGGGACAAAATATCCGGCATCGTGGGTACCTAGTCGAACAAGACGGGTCAGATTGTTGGTGTTGCGGTGGTCATACGTGCATCTGTCGGTTTCTCCGGAGCAAGAGTACATGCCACTGCCAGGCCGATACAATTGTCTCTCACCAATTCCCTCTTTCGCTGCGATTCTGCGACAAATATGGGGCTCGCAATATCGGTTTGCAGTGGTAGCTTTTGCAGCTGCTGAACAAGGCGGAACAGACCGTCATGGACAATTCCGCAAATAATGACATCGACTTTTTGAAGACTTTGATCATCAGCAAAAGTGGAGGAGTGGAATCGCTTTCGGTCGCTGAACAGGGACACCACCGCTGATGCGTCTTGGTCCTGCAAACCTTTGCTGTGACTATTGCTTTCCTCTCGACACCATAAAAGCGGCTTGATCAATTCAACCTGTATAAGACGACGTTCAGAGCGCTCAGCCAGAGCACCTCATCGCTTGGTTCTCTACGCCTGTCACCGGTTTCAGTCGCGGGAACGAGAGCCTTGTACTTCTACCGAATGTTTGTTCCCCGCACAGCAGCACAGCAGAAGGAGGATACTGTCCAGGAGCCTGTTAGTGATCTGTTACAAGTCTTTGAAAGAGGCATGGGGCCATTTTGTTGTTTGGGGATGCTTCCACTAAATATACTGGCTGTACTGTACAGTAGTGACTGAGTGTACCGAGTATGTATGTATGTTACCACTCACCCTGCCTGGTATCTACATCCTGTATATACTGTATATCCCGTACCTAGGTATGTAGGTTGTATATGTACTGTCTACGTACATAAGTATACACAAGGGGAAAAAAGCATTCGAGCCTGTGTCTGCATCGTATCTATAACAGACATTGGTGTGGAGCCATGCAACCTGGTCTGGTTGTCTGGTTGTCGAGTGGTCTGTACTCGGTACTTGGTTTGGGTCTAGAATAGGTATGGGTATGGATATGATATGGGTAGTAAAAGAAAGCCAAGCATGTGTGGGCGTGCATGTACATTACATACATTAGGTACCTAGTAGGTAGGTATGTATACGTCGTACGTACTTGTACTCGTACTCGTACTCGAACTCGAAGCTCTTGCTGGTTTGGAGGCTGCCGCCGTTAATGATGTGCTTAGGTAGCGTGGTAGGTACTCTCTCTGTCTCGTCTCTCGTCTCTCGCCTCTTCGCTCTTCTCGTGTCGGCCCTCCTCATTCCCATTTGCGTACCGATGTCCTCTGTAGGCTATCCTTGAGCGTGGTCGCGGATACTTGGGCTTGCATTGACGGGTCGGTGTACTGATAGGCCGATGGGATGTTGGGCGGAGGGGCAAGTGGCTGACGAGCTGCTGAGCGGACATGCTCCTGGAGGGCTGACTCTTTGGCCTGTCGATTTCCATGTGCGCGCGTGCGTCTGAGTGCAACCCTTTCCTCCCTTGAGGCAAGAAGACGAGAAGAGAAAACGTATTTCGAGCCAACAGCTCGAGTTTGTCCCAAGATGATTCCCACAACTCCCTATTTTCCCCCTTCTCTTTTCTCTCCTCACCATCGTGTCTCTTTGCTTGTGACTTGTCAAGTTGTATCCCATCAACTCCGTTCGCCCCCAACATTTCGGTCCTAGAGCTACGCAGACATTCCAGGCTGTCTGCAGCTCTCCCAAAAAGCATGACATGTAACATGGCATAGCTGTGGTCATCAAAGTCATAACATCGTAAAAAATGTACCGACGAAATCCATCGTGCAACTCGAATCTTATTCAAACTTGCGCCTCGTCTCCCAGCATTTGGGCCATGACCGTCAGACCACTCTTTTCCCTCCACTCACGGGCGATGGAGCCGAGAGAGGTGGCAGACAGTAACAGGAGCTGTCCAGGAGCAGCAAAAGCTCGGGTCAATGGCCCAAACGTTCAACCTCTAAGTTAAATCATGTGCATTCGTGATGAGAAACCGGTTCCTTTGAGATAGAAATCTTCTTTTCATGTTGCTGCTGTTGGTCGTCAGAAGCACAAAAGAGTACAAAAGCTGGTGTCATGAAAGTCGATGAGAATGTGCTGTACAAGAATCCAACGCAAATGATCCGGTCTAGTAAGTTTCCAAGCCTCATTGGCAGTTTCTGTTGCAGAAACTCCTTCGTGACGAGCTCAGAGCATCCAAGTGTGGGTCTGCATCTCTTCAAACTCGAAGCATCCGAAGCACTTGTCTGCAGCGATCAGAACAAGCGCATGCGCCTTTTCCCGGCCTTATTATTTCCATCGATGCGCTGGTTAAGGACTTCACGGAGTTTTGGATCGTGACGGTCTTCGTCCGAATGATGTTGTCGTACGTGACGCTGTAGGTTGTCGGGCCGAGGATACCTGTGTTGCTGGTCGGGGCAAAAAGGACATATATACCCGGGAGATGTGTGAACTAAGCCATGTCTGGTAGAAACGGAAGTAATCAGCAACAAAACAAGAATTCATTCTCAGACGGGAATCGTCTCACCTGATCATCTCGTTCTTCCTCTTGAAGCCCAAGCCACCGTGCCCTCGAGGACAATCTTTGACAGGACAGAAATGAGTCCGGGTGTCAGAATGAACATTCATATGGCTGTTTAACAAGTACTGGGTCTGAAATGGCGCGGCATTGCATCCCTCGTAATTGCATTTAAAAGGACCAAGTGAAAAGCGAGCGATTGCAACGGCATTGGGCCCAGCCTCGGGTTGGGTCATCGGTTGAGACACAGATGGACGCTTAGGCTGCAATCTAGATTGCTGTTTGGGTGCAGGCTCGGCCTCTGAGTCAGGTACGGATTCAAGTTCAGAGAGCTCCGAGAGCTCGGATTCCGTCACGGACCCAGCCCGGGATTCAGCTTCAGTTTGAGATTCGGGTTGAGAACGGCGTTGTGGTCGTGGTTCAGGCGCAGGAGGAGACTGAAGTTGGACCTGGGGTCGGGCTCGAGCTGCAGATTTGGAATGAGATTGCGGTCGGGTAGTGCGTTGATATTGGACTTTCATTTGTACCGCAGGGTGAGGTTGAGGTTTCAAATCCACTTCGTGCTGAGGCTGAGGCTGAGGTACAGATCGAACCTCACCTGGAGATGTCAGATCGATCTCCATGGTAGAGACTTGCCACGTCCCGCTGTACTCTTCTTGACCCTCATGAGTTCTCTCAGGCAGAGCGACCAACGACGAAGGACCTGAGGCTGCCGGGGATGGCGTGATGATAGACGAGGCTGGAGTTGAGGCGGAGATGGAAGTCGACGAAGTATAATCTGAAAAAGTTGACGTATTGGAATTTCCAGTCGCTGTACGCCAGTTGGTGTGAGACGGAGGATCCGGAGGGAACATGGCAGAATACGCAGAGTACGAAGCAGGGGACGCGTAGGAAACAAACTGGCCGGATAGAGCTCGACCTATTCCTGGAGACGGGCAGGCAAATGCCCCTGGGCTTGTGTCAGGGACATCGCCAATGGCGATCTTCAGCGACGGGAGCGTTGTCCTATAATCCGCTAGACCAGCAGGTGAGGAACGTGGGGGAGACCTCTGTTGCATGGCTGGCAAGGTGAAATCCGGATGGGCATCCCGGGGCGATATTGCATACTTGCCGAGAATAGGTGACTTCAGGATCGAGTCGTCATCTTGATCACCGTCACGAACGCTCGGAACAAGATTCAGCCGCAAATTCGGAAACAGTGGTCGAGTCCTCGGGGGTGGAATTGTGTTGAACTGCTTTCGCAGTAGATCTGCTTGATTCGACGCGGCATTGGAAGCTGGAGCCTCCCTTTCGGGATTGTGGATGGCTTGTGTAGGCACTGGAGGCGACTGTACCGGGTGCTCTTCAGCCAGGGTGGCTGGACTGTCAATCATAGGAAAGTCGTCGTCGTCGTCGTCAATGTCGTCACGGCCAACAGGATCGACGACGAAAGCCGTTTGCGGCGTCGGCTTTGCTTTGACCAAGTCCGGGTTTGCTCCGATCCGAACGACCCTCCTAGACCCTCTCATCGGTCTCGGGTCATCTTGGATGGCATTATTTTTGTCGCCATCGTCATGGTCATCCTCGTCGCCGCTGCCACCATCTTCCTCCTCGTCCTCCTCGTCCTCCTCTTCTGACCGACTCCTCGAGTCTAATGGCGCTCGCCGTGCCTGGCTGGCAAGTGTACGTTGATTGGGATCTAAGGCAAGAATCAGTACGCCATCGGCAAAGGTGCGGTTTGCTCGACCCTTCCGTGCTATAGTCTTCTGCCGCCGTCCCAGCGTATCCGAATCCTCCGCTTCTGAGGAATCAGAAGATAGTTCGTCGACACGTACAAGAGGTGCAGGGCTGGACCGTGGCCCGTACTCCGGGTTGACTGGCTCCAGTCCCGGACTTCGGAGGGGTGCGATGATATCCCGCTCGACGTCGATAAAGAAATCTTGATCGTGGGACATGAGTGAACCCGACAAATCACATGGCAGACCATCCAAGAGGGATGAGGGAACGGCCCTGGGATGGGCAGCGATATTGTTGACTACGGAGGCAAAGATTGTCTAATATCGACGTCTCTGCATCATATGCCATGTCAGTGGGTGAAATTCTTCTGACTTTGCTGGTTGGACACGCTCAGCGGGAGCGCATGACATTGAGTAATAGGGACGTGTAGGACGTGCCATTGTCCGTTGTCGATGGGCCGCAGGATGTGCCAACTCATTACCACAAAGGAATAAGTAGCGGGGGATGGGGATGGGAGGGGCTTTGACGAACTCAAAAACGTTCCAGACCATGGTCAGGCGGGATGACAAGCGTGGTGACTTGCGTGTTCGGGCAGACAGCGGCTGAAGAGGGATGGGAATACATTGGTCCAGAGATGAAAGCAACATGGGGGGAGGGGTGGTAAGATGCTCTTACCGGGAAGCAAAAATGGCTCGATGTTGGGTGTAGGTGTGACTCGGTCAGTTGATAGATGGCTGGAAGTGAGGGGTATCTTGTAACACAGGGTCGGGATGAGGCTCTTGGAGGCTCTGAGGAATTGGCTGCGAGGAAAGCACCGGGTCTGTAGGGTCGGTGGGTTGGGAGGTACAGAATCACGGTTGAATCTGATGCTCTTGGGATGTTTGGACTCCTCCGGATTGCTGGTGGTGACGGGGCAAGTGATAGAAAGGGCGCAGACAAGAGAAGAGACTTGGGAACTAGAGTGTACGAGAGAGAGATGCGAGGCTGTTGTTGGATGATGCGGAGCCGAGTTGGGAGTGGTTTAGGTTGGGATGGAGGATTTAGACGCAGTCAAAGTCACCCTCTTCCGTCTTCACCTCTCCCGCTCGTCTCGTCTCGTTCTCCTTTCCAATCTTTGCCCACAACCTTGAACAGAAGAAGAAGAGCAGAAAAAGAATTGCTGGAGCCTTGGATGGCTTAGCGTGGCTGCGTGGGCACGTTGCCAGCACAGCCACTCGCCAATGCCAACTTAGAACGATCAAAGGGTTACAAGGGGAGACAGGGCCAAAAAAGGTGGAATGTCAACGGGAATACAGGGTCGTTAGGATGATCCTTGGCCTTTGTATTACGCTACATATGTTGCGAGCTCGAAGGTTTTGGTGGCTACATGAAGAGGTGAGTTGCAGTGCGTTGTTGTGTAGCTAAATCAAGACTTAGTTTCGTGCCTGTTGCATTAGGGGAGCCATGCACGGGTCTGGAATTGAGGCTGTTAATTTAATGGGTAATGGGGGGCCCCCTCCTAACGCGACTGGATCCACGGGAGGCTCGTGGAAGAATCAAGCTGAACGCAAGGAAGCCTCCTTAGGCGACTTGAACACTGGCTGCCAATTATTAATGGTAGGAGATCAATCGGATCCCAGACTGCGTTACGGGGGGGTTGGAAGCCTCACTGTGATAGGCGAGAAGGAAACCCCAAGTCCCGAACCCAGCGACCCACAGAGTGAATGCCGAATTGCCAATGAGAGAGTAACGAATGAAGGAAAAGAAAAGTGACTGGAGAAGGCCGGATGGCCGGAAATGTCATCTCACTTGTACACATATCACCGAGTGCTGGGTAGGGAACAGCGACGGTAAAGGCATAAACGGAGGTCGTCATCCCGGTCCGACAAGCATGTCAGATGCCGTCGGTAGGGCGAAAGGGAGACGAGCAGTGGAGCAACAATAGAGAGCAAGGCAGACACACAGAAGAGAAAGGGAAGATGAAGAGAGAGACATCTGGATTGCCAGACTGCGCCCTGAAACGCACCCACGGTCAGGGTTGAGAGAGTCTCCTCCCAACTACCCAACCAAGGAATTGTTCTTAGTCGTAGAGCCAGACACCATGGTGATCCATTGCAGCTGAGACCATGCACGAAGAAGCAACACAAACCCCTACAATAGGCATTCCCACACGCACACGCAGGGCGCTCGCTGGCATCAGCCCAGCAGCCCAGCAACACCACCGCAGCTGGTTTTAATTGGTGTCTCTGCCTTGCCTCACCTAACGGATTGGGCCTCAAGAGCCACATCCACCCCCCCAAAGGCCATGCTAGGTGCCAACCCGTGTTGCGACGAGTGATGTGTCCCTGCGCGTCCTGCACCTTCTCCCGTCTTTACCCTCTCTCTCTTTCACTGTCCTCGTTTTTTTCTCTTCTCGCCACCATTTCTTCCCAACTTCACTCTCACAGCCGTCAACGACCAGAGATCTACCCAGACAAGCTTGGTCCTGCCAGCTCAACGGGCAGTTCCAGAGCCTCAATTCATCTGATTAGCTGAAAGTCTGACTCTTTTTAGCTTCGCTGGCAAGCCCCGCAGTCCGCAAAAGAACTTTGCTTGGAAACCCGTCCGCAGCTTCTTTCATTTCTCCCGCGGGCCCTGTCGCTTAAAAACCTGTCGGCCAACAGGGGTGCCGGCCCTAAATATGCAAGACCTGCGAGTCCCTCGTACGAGGTGCTTGATACAGCCAAAGGAATCACCTCAAGCCTGCACGGCAAGTCTTGATGTTGGACCAGTAGCCCTCCCATGCCTTTCCAGGTCTTCGAGCAGTCCCGCTCATCCCTATCCGAAGCAACAAAAAAACACCTCTCCCCAGCCCCCGACAACGGAAGCGCTAACTAGGCTCACAAGCTTCCCCGGGGAGCGAAGCTGTCTGCTCGAAAAGCACCATCGGAGACCTATTCCCGCCAACACCTTTCCATGCACGTCCTCTTCCCAATCTGGCCACAAATCAGAAGATCGTAAAAAGACAAACCTGCAAGAATTATAGCATATTTTCCGGCTGACGACGAGGGTGATGGACTGCGAGTAAGAGAGCGCGAGGCCAATCACTCAAACGATTACTCGTGATCGGACCGTTAGAGGCACATGAAACCTAGCGTGGAAGCCTTATTAATATATTCGGTCAGGTTTGTCATGAAGGAGTCGTGGCGAGGCACATAATCCCAAACTATTATAGAGTCCACAGTACGGACTACCGTTGTACGAGTACACGCTCGCACATAGTCTATTATTGCTCTCTATTGTGATATCTATTTGAAAGTGTGATGAGCCTCTGTGATAGGTCAGCTGCCTGTTTTGGCACATCAAATTCGCTGAGGTGACTTCGCCATGGACCAGCACCACCAGTGCTGATCTTTTCAATACTTGTCCAGTCGAACAAATCCCGCCTTCGTTCCCACAATGAAGACCCTCTGTAAACGGGCCGTCGGGCGTCCACCAGCATCAGTCCTGCTGAATCGTCGCTAAACGCGTGGCTAAGCGAGGAACCAACGGCGCATCATCTGCCCAGCCCGCATCTCCGTTGGTCCAAATCGGGCGAAAAGCACCTCAAAAGGAGTGCAAATTAAGAAACCCATGCGAGCGGCTGAGGCAGAACTTGCATGGCCCCTGGACAAGGAACGGTCACCTGTTTTTGGCTCGAAGATAACTGGTTCACCTTCGAACTGGGCGTTCGTCGTTTCCCGAGTGCTCACCCGAACTGACTGCGCAACGGGCGGTCTTGCCTGGCGAAGTCGCGAGATAGCTATGGCTGGGGTCTGCGGTCAACGGCCGAGCAGCGGTCGTTCTGGATCGTTTTCCTCGTCCGAGCCCTTGCATATCTCTTCCCGTTCCCGGTACAGAACAAAGTGCTGAACGATAAAAAGTAGGTCGAAGCCCATGCTAATGTTTGCGAGCCCGAGCTTCAGAGGATTCCCGGTGATTCCACTCCAGTCACCCCCAAAGCTCGCATCGATGATCAGCTGGGCTACAGACAGCACCCCTCCCGTCAGATCGAACAAGATTTGCAATATGCTCCAGCCCTCGGTCGATTGGCGCTTATAGTTGAAAAAAGCTTGTGGGATGTACTTAACAAAGGTGCAGACGAGCTTGATATACCCCAAGGTGTACAGCTGCAGTGGTTGCCCGTCACCAGTCAGTCGTGTCACCAAACGGAGAGACACTGGGAATCATCTCACCACATCGATCCATGCCCAATCCATTGGGTCCTGCTCCCTCAGACCCGAGCGATGACCCATCAATACGACCATACCGGCAACAGCAAGGAGGCTTCCCCATACGATGGCCAACACTGGGCGAGTGACTCGCTGATGAGCCGACTCTCGAAAGCCCCATAACCGCGAGTAAAATTGCGAGTAGGTCAAGATGACGAGGATGACGGCATGCACCCCAAAGGCAACATCATTCGGTTGAACAGTTGGCTCTGGAGATGCTGGATGCCTCGCTGCATATTGTCTTCGGATCGTCGGGGAATACAGGAAACAGCAGGTTGATACACTGTAGCATAGGAAGCCGAGCACGTTGAGAACCGGAAAATCAATGGCGAGGCCTTCTGTGGATCGACGTTTCCAGTTTAGCCACGGTTGAGGATAGAATGAAGCGCTCCAAGACAATGTACTGTCGAGAGGATCAGTGACTAGGCATTTTGCAAATCCGACTACAGTCTCTGGATGGACTTACTAGACCCATCCCAGCAGCCTGCAGAAAGCACATCGGTTAGCACTAAAGATCTCTGTCTAGCTTATCTGAGACTGGAGAACAATCGATAAAAGAAAACATTCGCACCTCGAGACGGCTCTTACAAAGCGAGCCCCTGCATCCGTATCAATTATCGTCGACATTGAAACGGGTCAGAGATGGATCTGGCGGCCTCGGTAGCAGTGGCATCGACCTTGTTAATTGTTGGCTTTTCCTCGTGCCCCTGTGTTATCTTATGGCGAAGGATGGTTGATGGCTAAGGACGGACGCTTCAAGATCATGATGACATGAACCAGGGTGAAGATAGTGTGCGGGTAGCCACGGGCGGAAGCGATCTCGTGGCGAATCGACCGCGAAGAAATCAGTGGGACCCGCTGGTGCCCAGTGCCCACCTTGCACGGCCCTTAGTGGCTGTCTTCAACGGTTCTTTCTGGGGGGGACGCCGCTTCGGAGGCTTGTTGTTGTTGCCCATCCTACCGCTCTGGCTCCATCCAAGACAGAGGACAACTCACCACCCAATCCGGCTACATCCAGGCAATCGCATTGTGCCAGACAGACTTTTGCTCTTGTGATACTTCCCTATCGACCTACGAGAAGGTCTCTCGTTTCTGTTCCAGCTCTCCCACCTTTTCCTACCCTATATTCGAACCGACTTCTCTTAACAGCGTCGGCCACTCATCTACCCCGCTTGCCGAGCTCCAGTAAACAAAGCGAAGATCAGTGACAGCTATCGATCAACCCTCAAGCCACCCAACTTCTACAGTTCGGGAACCAAGAATCTATCCACGCCTCTCTCATCCTTGGATGGTCCCAACCTCTTGACTGTCGGAGGAGAAGCCTCCAGTGAACTCCAGCTGTCGATTGCAGGCACGAGGTCGGCAATCGAGCCATGTCGCCCTCACCGCAACTCTCCCCTCCAGGGAGCAGCACCTATGATTCAAACACCATGCATGTGGGCGATGGGACGTGGGATGCGGGAAGAGATAATTTTCTCCTGCCCAACCTTATGGGACTGAATTTTGCGACGATGAGATACAATGGTGAGAAGAAAATGTTCCGTGGTTCTGCATTGACGTAGTCAACTGACGAGGTCGAAAATAAGGAATGGGAAATCGCTTCTTCTCCCTGACTGGCTACCATAGTCTGGTCGAAGCGCACGGCATCATCGCCGCCATCACATTCCTTGGAATCGTCCCCCTCGCGATCTTCCTGATGCGATTCTACGGCCGTCAACCTCGACTTGCCCTCCGAATGCACATATGGCTGCAAATCCTCACTCTCCTCTTGAGCACGGTGGTTATCATCCTAGGCTTTCAGGCTGTTGGCCCGAATAGAAGTTTGACCAATCCCCATCATGGGATCGGTGTCGCAATATACGTCTTGATCTGGGTCCAAGTGTTGGGAGGCTGTATGGTACACCGGAGAGAAAAGGGGAGGAAACACGCACACATTCCTCTCCGTGTCATGCTCCATCATTGGCTAGGCCGTGCTATTGCTTTACTCGGGATCGTCCAGGTTCCGCTTGGCCTGACCCTCTATGGATCGCCTGCCTACTTGTTTGTTCTTTTTTCGCTATGGGGCTTTTTCATGCTTTCCTTGTATTTCATCCTGCAGTATCTGGCTGAGCGACGAAGAGGTCGCTATGGACCCGCCGGCGGTAGCGGTCACCATGTCGATGTTGTTGAGGACGTGGATGACCGCAGACACACTGGACTGGGGAAATTGGCACTGGCGGGAGCTGCTGGTGCGGGTCTCGCAGCCTTGTTTAGGAGACGGTCTTCGAGGAGAGACGATTCACCTCATCGTGTGCATGGATCTGGAACCGAGGTGACTGGAAGTGGATCATCTTATTACTACGACGACGACAAGCTGTCCGATCGGCCTCGTCACGGCATCGGACACCGCCTGTTACAGGTCGCAGCTATTGGAGGGGCCGTTGCCGCAGTCAAGAAGTTGATGGGCCGCAGAGACCGCGACGACGACTCGGATGCTGGCCCCTACAGACCACCTCTCGGTGGCAATCAGTCTGTGACGACAGACTCGATGTCTCGAATCGAAGAAGGCAGGCCACCCTCCATCCGTCCAGTAACACCAACCGGTGTCAGTCCGGGCCACATTCGACCGACCCATCCTCTCGCCCAAACCCCAATGACACCAGGCTCAAATGGACGGCGACCATCAGAGTCGTTGTACTCATACGATTCATATATGTCAGGATCCCCATCGCGACGCGATCGGAGATCGCATGGATTCCGAGATGCCGTGGTTGCTGGAGGGACTGTGTTCGCCATCCGACAACTGTTCAAAAACCGCAGGCAACGCAAAGAAGATCTCCGCGCAGAACAACTGAGGAAGGAGAGGATAGACGAGGAGCGAAGAGCACGCATGAACGCGGCTCACGGATATACTGGTGATGGATACGCACCCCCCAGACGAGCTCGCCACGGCAGGATGGGTAGCCAGACTGCTTCAGACATATCGACCGACTTAGGACCGCCTGGAATGAGCGGGGCCATCCCACCAGCAGTGGGAGCAGGCGTTGGAGCCGCGGCAGCAAGCGCTCTTGCGGACAGAGATCGGATCAGACCAATCGGCCAGGATCCTCCCATCACACAGCCAGTTCCGCCTGCTTCTGTTTATCCTGTGCCTGGTCCGGGCCAAGCAGAAATACCCCCTATTCCACCACCTCACCTCGAGTCATCGGGCAGCGAACTTTACACCACTGGATCCGGCCGACAACGGCATCGACATCATCTCCGCGACGAAGCTGCCGCTGGGCTGGCAGGGGCAGCCCTGGGAGCCGCTGCGGCGGAGGACTCTCACCGTCGGCGAAGACAAGGCAGCCGTAACAACAACACGGACAGCATGGAATCCCCACCTGTCAGTGTCAAGATAAACATGCACAACGATGGTCGCCAAGTGACCCTTCGACGATTGACCGAGGAAGAGGCCGCGGCACAGCGTGAAGCGCGCAGGAGAGAACGCCAGGCCTCTGCGGCGGCGAGGAGGTCAAGGAGAGGCTCAAGTTTCAGCGGGAGTGACAGTGAGGCTATGGGGGCAACTAGTGCTGATCGACGATGGAGACGCACTGAAGCTCTGGAAGCCGAACAGGCTGCTCAGAATGAAGCTGCTGCCCAAGCTGCTGCCATGCCACACCCGGCCACAGCCGTGACTCCTCAACCACCAGCGTCTGTTGCCGGGCTCAGCCCTGCTCCGACGATTCCATATCCTGCTCCACCCGATCCGCACAACGTGCAAACCGGCGCTCCGCAGGCATACCAAGTGCCCCTTCCGCCTCCGCCACCTATCCCTGGATCGGCTAGCAACCTGGGGTATCCAGGTGGAAGTGGTATCACTTCGCCTGGGACGGAGACAAGTGGAGCGACAGAATATGCTAATAATAGGAGAAGGAGGCGGGCAGAACGGGCTCAGGCGAGGTTAGCCAGGGAAGGGAGAACTGGAGGGACCGTGGAGTTTACCTGATGAGGTCTCAGCTGGGTCTGAGGCGCGACGAAGCTTTGGAAAGACATGTATAGGGGGGCTGATATGAGAAATGACTGGGGCATTTTCACAGCCTTGTGAGCATTTAGTATATTCAACTGCACAGAGCGATCTGTGATGTTTGGTCTATGCAAAACCTTTCTGGCATACTTTCCAGCGCCACTGTATATCATAGACTTGGAAAGGATGTCTGACGAGAATGACGAAATGAGAATGCTTGCTTGGACAGTTGTTGGTGTGTCGATATTGTCCGGTTGTAGAGTGCCCGTTTGGGACGGAGATGAACGACTGGGACGATGACGAAGACGATTTATAGCAACATGGAAGTGCCTGGCACACACGCGCATACACACAAAAGTAATTTCGTTACAATTCGAATGATCCCAGCCATCAGGGAAAGTCTTGCAGGCGAGCATATCTACTGTAATTTCTTCTTGGCCACGAACACGGGCACGGACATGAATTGACAGCTAATGGGATGGGATGGGATGTGCATACATACTTGCCATCGTCGATCGAGTGCACGGCTGGCATAGCATAGTATAGCCGTCCGTTGACTCTACCGGGTCCTCCTCCAGGGGATTGAAAATTGTCTTACCTGCCTTGCTGACTGTCTGGCCACGAGGCTGACTGACGAAGATGGCACGCTTAGAAAACCCTGAGTATGCATTCATCAATCTCACGACGCTCGAGAATGCGACAATGGGCATTTTGTGGAAGGGGAGAGGGTAGGAGAGCCATGGCATGGAGTGTGAGTCTAGCCTTCACTCCCTGGATTGCCTCTGTCCAGCCGTCACCACGCCACATATGTATTTGGCCTTCTGATGAAGTTGAGGAGAGCTACTACAAACGATTGAGTCAATCACCACCCTCAGAGGGCTGGCTCTTCGGCATACACCGGTGGTCCTGGGCATGTTCTGCTCGATTGGACGAGTGGACGAATGGATGGTGGTTCGGACACAGTAGCAGACACGATGAGGGCATTGGAGGACGAGGATGCAATGAGGAGGCGAGGCAACGATTCCGCATGTCAACAATGATACCAGATACCAAGCTATAGCAAAAGATATTTTCCAGTTTGGGGCGCCGAGTTTTGCCATGGAGGGAGGGATGGAGGGGATCAGGATTCCGAAGGACCGACTGTACTCGGCAGAGGCACTTGGATTGAAAACTTGTGGCAGGCTGGGTGGTGGTGGTGGTGGTGGTGGTGGTGGTGGTGGAAGGTTGTTTTTTCCTTGTGGAAGTTTTGGTCAATACTCGGAACTATTTGTCACTGTAGACACTTTTTACTCCGTCAATGGAATCACCGGCGTCACCCTGCCGGATACGCTTTCCCTTGACCTCGCTAGCATCAGACCCCAACAGTCTCGGAAGCGGGTAAACGGTCCATGCCACCATGCCTTTTTATCGAGCAAGAGATATAATATCCTCTAACCAGATACGCCGATTCTGGGCATCACGTCCCGGCGATCGATCGAGCATCGCCGACCCTATCTAGTTCTGACAAGCAAGACTGGCTCGATTCTCTCTATCATCTCTTTCCGACCGATTACAAGTTCAACGAGAGATGGGTATCGAGTATTTCCGCGTATCGGAAACAGATCCACTGGGTATCTGCCTCCCTACCTGCCGACCGACCAACCTATCCAAAGCTAGATTTCAGCAGGGGTGGGAGCGTACCCCTGTGCCATGCCTCCCCGCCTGAGATCACCACCCTCGTCGAACCAAGCAATGCACGAATTATTGCCACTCGCTTTCGGTCCATCTCTCCGACCGTCCGCCTTGGTGATGTTCCAAGATTCAGAGAAAGTGAAGGGGCCCAGATCAAGTGCAATCAGGCGTGTGACCCGCTCTCTCTGATGCCACGGGCGGTCAGAGTGGGGGATGGCGCTGGTCAACTTGCTTGTGTAACACACCATAAACAAGCGCTGGGATGTCCGGGGGGGGCAGCCACATCAGCTGAGGTATGTCCACAGCGGTCTTTGTCCAACGCGTCACGCTTCAGGTGCATGCTGCATGCATGCTGTGCGCACGACGCTGAAACTCCAGATTTCGCCATGGTCAGAAGAAGCAAGTAAAGGCAGTTGAGTTAGGTTTTGGGCCAATCAGCCAAGTCATCGTAGCTCTAACTAGCAATAAAAACGGACCACGATCATCGCTCCCCCTCCTGGATCAGAGTTTCAAAACGCTCCCTTTCTCTGCGTTGTTCCCCTCCCCGTTCGTTCCGAAGGGCGGAAGCGCAAACGCGCCTGCGTCTGATTCGATGGCGAAAGAGTGGCACACCATGCCTCGATGTCAAACTCCTCGACGGTGGTTGGCTTAGAGAAGAGGAGGAGGATGATGATGGGGTGTGATGTGTGATGGGTTCACCGGCCTGAGCCAATCCACACTTCATTCCCATTTGCACTTCCATGGCCTCTCTAAACTCAACTCATCTCCTCTCATGCATTCATTCATGCAGTTCATTCTCATGTGCCATCTCTGTCTCTCGTTTCATCTTGCTTCTCACGATACGGTGCGATGTGAGGCCCCCCCCCCGTCCCCCCCAGTGGGGGAGTCGAGAAAGCAATGACAAATGCAATCGTCCTGTCCTTGTTAGCCCCATGGCTTTCATGCATGACCTTGACGAGAGAGCCGGATCGATTAAGATGAGACTTATCCGTTTTGAATGAGGGACGGCCTCGGTGAGACCAACCTGCGTCTGCGACTGCTACTCAGCCTGACGACACTCTTTCCCAACCCCCCCGGTTTTCTCGCTGTGTAAGGGTGTCATTGTCACGATCTAGATCTCTCTGCCCTTTTGCTCCATCCACTCCAACCCGAGCAAGATTCCCCCCAAGCTCAAATTGCAGTGAGGGTGCGGGATGCTGGGTTGGACGGGGAAGGGATGGGAAGGGGAAAGGGGGACGGACACAGGCGTGATAGGTCAAGCAAAGCGAGCATGTCCCTTTGCCGATCCTACTACGAGTTCTACGAGGATACGAGGGCGGGCGATATTGGCGGATACTCTGTCACCCGGTCAGTGCAAGTGCCATTGCCAGCGCCAGTGCCAGGCACGCCAGGTTCTCGCCATGTTTAACTTGGAAGGAGTGCTCGTATCAAGCTTCAAAGAGGGCACATGCATGTCTGACTGACACCTGGCTTTACTGGGGGGTTCCAACTTTTTGACTTGCGTTTTCGTTTTCGTTTCCGCTTGTGCTTTTGGATCCAGATCCGGAATCAGGGACCTTCTCTGGCTCTGCTCTACTCCGATCTGACCTGGCTAGCTACGATCTGAGCGTTCGCTTGCGGAACCGTGCCTTTGAGCATCGAGCATCGAGTATCGAGCATCTTTACCCCTCACATACGAGCCCCAAGCACCAGGCACCACGTCCCAGACACTACGAACCATTGCCAGGCACGTACGTGCCAGGCCAAGAAAAAGAATATCACAAGAATTGGAACAAAATGAATGAGTGGGTGAGTGAGTGAGGGAATGAAAGTAGACAAAACCAAACCGATAAACGTGCATATATCAATATCAATATCAATACAGATCTCAGTTAGGTAGGTAGTCAGTCAGTCAGTTAGTCAATCACTCAGGTAGTGAATCATTCGTCATCTCGTCTCATCCCATCTCATTGTCACGACAGTTTTGGCCTGTGCTGTCCTTGTCTGTAGTTACATAGCTAGCTAGATACTCGGCTAACTAGCTATTCTCTCTCTCTCTGTGCCCCCCCTGTGCGGCTAGATACCATTGCCATGGCGTAAGCACTGTGGAAAAACCACAAACATAAAATCACTAAAATCGGGGAAAGACCTGGAGGGCGACAAGCAGCAGTGCCTGATGAGAAAGACCCACATCGCCCCAAAGATGGCGTCAGACGGAGCGAGGGGTTGAGCTCTTATTTGTCCTCAGTATCGTTGAAAAAGGATAAATTATATATAAACTATAATTAAGTTAAGGATTTAGAATATATACCTCCTTTCTATATCGGTAGGCGAGTGCCACAGATCAGATGCCAATGGCAATATAACTTTTGGGAGGTTTTTGGGATAAACACCTTCCTTCCCTCCGCGCTTTCTTCCGTCCTGTTGCTCTCATACGCGGGCCCATTCAGGCACAAACTCATATCTTCCGTCTCAAGATATAGCAGATATAGGGGAGCGCGCCATTTGTCAATGTCGCTCCGTCCCAGAGGAAGAACAACGTGGTACGTGGTACCTGGCACGTCTCCTCAGGCAGGTCTGCTTTCGGCCAATGCCAATCAGCAGCTTGCTGGCCACGTCGCCCACTGCCGGCTAGACTGCCAGTTGAAGGGATCCTGTACCACGCAGAGTGTTAGTCGTCAATCCAGAGCACCAATCCAAGAGACGAGTAGATACGTACCGATGTTTGCCGGACTGGAAGGTTGCAGGACTGTCCCATCAGTGGTGGAAGCCGAGGCACAGCTGGTTGATGTGCGGTGTTCCCAGGTGGGATATAGCCCTCTGGTTGATATGGAAGAGAATAGCTCTGGGCCGTCACTTGCTCGACGGCTCGATTGTCCAACGTAGGAGCCATCCCCGGGCAAGCCATGACGGGGGACGGCCTGGTCGCCGAGTAGGGAACAGAGTAGTCCCCCTCCAGGTTGACATTTGGAGAGGGAGCATAACTGTATCCTGCACCAGAGTCAACCGTGCTGCTGGTGAACATGTCGACTGCGATTGGTGGAGGCCCAGCATCTGCTGGTAGAGTTGCTGCCGTATAACCTAGGCCCGTGTTGTCCCCAGCGTAAAAAGGATATGGGGCTTCAGTGTATCCCGGACCTTGGCTAATCGGATACCCAGCTGGCATCGCGTCCGCGCTTTCCAGTGCCGGTGCAATGAACGAGGTATTGGCCATGATATCAGGCCGGAATTGGTCTGCACACTCTGCCCGTGGTAGAGTGCCGTTTGGTGCAATCGATGCGTCCTCATTGACATTCAAACTCTGAGGTTCGTCGGTATCAACCCAGAGGAATGGAGCCAGTTCAAATGGATTGGACCGGCCCCTACCATCAGAGACTGGTGGTGCAACTTCCAAAGGAGAGATTGGTACATTCCCAAGTTGATGTTGGGGAAGACTCGTTGTGAGCCATGGCATTGATGGCACTAGCCCTGTGGAGGTTGGCCACCATGGGCTGAGACCATGACTGCAATGACAAGGGGCGCCTGGGTGATGAAATGGTTGCGCTGTGTGGCTTGAGGCGCGTTCCGTAGACCAAGTGCCACGGGAGCTACCTGGTTTGAAAGGAGCTTGATCGTAGGACGCATCTGGGATACGAGGCTCTATGAAGCTGTAGTCCCTCTCTGTCAGTGGCATGTGTCGAACGACGTTGACAAAACCTACTTGGGGAGTTTAGAATAGACATATGAAGGAGGATGCGAATAAGCCGAAGACGGAGGCATCGGAGCCAGATTCCAGTGAACTTGCTTCTTGGTTTTGTCAGACCTTCGTTTCGTCTCCTGTTGAGCTTCGGTGTCAGTGACCTCGCGCTCTCTTTTCTTTCCCGACTCTTGATCTCCGAGGTATTCCGAAGACTGGATGGCAGGCGCTGCCATTAGTGACGTGGAAGAGGGCGGAAGCAACTAGTAGCGGAAGCCTCAGCACGGAAAAGCATAGGGAAAGGAGTCAGCACGGGACGGGGGCACACCGAGGTTTATAACAGCGTCGAAATGGTCGACATGCATTTCAAGTGCGATCCACTCGAGCACAACCTGCCCGGAGAATTCGATCTCGACATGAAGACAGACCCGAAATTCATATCAAGCTGTATTAGCCCGGATGCAGCTCTGATTCGTTGACGAGCAAAGGCAAACGTCAAGGATGGAGCTGCCATTGCTTTACGCCAACCAGAAGTGGGTTGAGCCACGCGATGAGCACAGCTTGACCGTAAAGCAACGAGGACGAGACAGATGGTGAGTCCAAGAAACATCTCAGGAGGGCGTTCAATAGTCAGACCCCGCCTGGCAGGTCTGCAGACACAATGATTCCAATTGCCAATGTTAGGCTTGGTGGTCGTTGATGGTGGGCAGCAGGCGCTGGCAGAGGGAAACTGGGGAACGGCCTAGTGCGATGGCGGATCGCTAAAAAGTCAAAGGTATCCGCTTTTCAAAGACTGAGGCAGAGCTTTTAGTCCCAGGTGACAGCCCTGTAAATCTCGGATCGTGGGGGCTGGCAACGGGTGAACCGTCTGCAAGTTGGATCTCGAATGGTGGTGGCTTGTCGTATGGCTTCATTCATTCGTCGAAAGGTCCGCGTCAACTTGGCGCGAGGGGCTGTTGGCAGGCTGCCAGAAGATCCTACCACCGACCATCTTGTGAGAGCGGGAACCATGGACAACAGGGAAAAAGGAGGGCGTTTTGCAGGAAAGCCACCGACCCATCCAGTCGACATGGGTTCGCGTTCTCAACTCCCGGCCGCTTGACTTCCCCATAGTTTGCAATGTGAGTTTTGATCAGGGCCAAGGGGGACTTTTCGCTCAAGATACGAACGGAGACGACGCTAGATTTTGGGACGAAGCTTTACATGGGTGGTCGACCTTCGCTCGTTGACGCGCGGATGTAACTCGAGCTTCCCCGGAGTACAGACACTTGTAAGAGGTATTGTCTGCCATGCTCGCTGTGATCAGGCTTGGAAGGCTGTGAGATTGGCCCATGGTGTCAAAAGTCCTTGGGGCGGGCAATTGAGGGAGCTAGGCGCCGATCATCCAACAATTCAGACTCGTGAAGATGTAGGAAATTTGAAGCTGGCAAAAAAGCACTGGCCAATAACGAGCGGCGCCTGGAGGTCTCCTCCCTGAGACTGATCTCAATGTGACAGGCAATATTCTGGGAGGGGATCTTTGAAGCAGTAGCGTGGAGATCTCGCTTGTTGTTCCCCTAAAGCCATGCCGCATCAGTTGAACTGGAAACTGCTGTGGCGACTTGATTGAGCTATGCCTCTTCATTCCCAGCACTGTTCCCGTCGTGTGAAGATCTCACAGGGCGATTAGGGCAAGTCCGGCGTTTGCAGCCGTTATTCCTTTAGCGACCAAGGACGCTTGTCACTTGCCGAGATGCTTCCCATCGAGGTGACCGATCTCCAGACAAGATGCGGAAATCGTGCCCATCTGAATATCACTCAAGATCGGAGTTCTTCCCAGCAGGATCTCAGCTAATCCTTGTCGGGTGATGGAACTGAAATGCAAGCACCGCGAAAATGGCACTTGTGACTCACAGGGCCGAATGTCCAACCGCAAGTCTCTGGTTGGTGGCCGCGTGTAGATAGCACCAGACAATGCACTTGCCAGATATTGACGGCAAAACTTTAACAGGTTCAGCTAACCGTATCGCTGCACGGGCGATGTCAAAATTGGTGCGGAGAATAATGGTATCAGCGGATGGTCAAAATCCGACGGCCAGGCGTCGATATTCCTTCTTGACATTGGCACTTGCTAGGTGGCAGGTGTTTCGTCCCGTATTGCGTTGACCTTTGGTGTAGGGCAATTGGTGCCGGCTGTTAGGCGGGAAGAGGCGGGAGTCAACCTCAATGCGTATCCAGACACTGCTTCTCTCCTTAGAGCCATGGCTTGTCGAGGGTGATTCTGGTGGACGCGGGTCCGCCGTGGCCTACTATGACCCCGATTGACACCAGCAAGAGTGGAGAGAGAAGAGACGGTGACTCAGGACAGGGTTGCGGCACTCGAAATCTCAGGTTCCAGGATGTCGAGAAATGGGTCTCTGCGCAAGCACAGGAGTTCGAGCGCCGGCGCTAGCACCTGGCCAGTGGTTTGCCGCCAACAATCAACTCAAGTCTCTGGCCTCGTTGTCCCAAATAAGCCAATGCTGGCGTTTTCTGCCGCACGGAAGTGGGACTGGAGCTCCTGGAGCTCCTGGACCAGCATGCTCATCTGTTAAGCACAAATTTCCGTGCGCAAGACTGGGGTGTCCTGGTCAAGCACAGCTTCTTTCCCCGTCCAAAAAAGGCATGCAGGAGTGGAACATCCCTGGCGTGAAAGAGATCTGGTATGTGGACCCGTTGTCTCAGAGAGGCAATACCCTCGTATTCTGAAAAGGAGACTTCCCGATGCGACCAGGGTAGTTTCCCTGTACCACGCTAGCACAAGTTGTCGATCGTTGATGATGAAGGAGGCAGAGGCCGGAGCCATGGGGATGTGCACTCAGCGCAGATAGATTAAGTTTTAGCCCCAAGTAGTTCCAAAGTCGTATTCGGCAGGTCGAACCCCAAACCTGGTTGTAGTCATATGCTTTCATCACTAGCAGGAAGTTTGATTCAGCAGCTGGCAACAGGTCCACCCATGCTCAGGTTCATTCCCAGCATCACATGGGTTTTTTCTGTCTGAACTTTCCCTCTGACATGGCGGACTCAAGAAAAGGGCCGGGCCCATACATCGTAGAATTGGCATTGGATGTGGGAAAGTCGAAAAAGATTGTCTCTTCGCCAAAGTGATTGGCATCCACCGGCGTTGGTACTCATCTGAAGCTACTCACCAACTGCTATGTTTCCCTATCCAACCTGATACTTGACGTCCGGTCTGTTCTCGTGGACAGCAGTTGCCAAGCTCCTCGAGCGATCCCCGACAGCAACCAGCACGCCCTGGGCTTTGGATATGTCTTTATCAGTTCGTTCTACCACACCGCAAGATGGTGATTGGCGCTTTTGAGCCTGCTGGTTCTCAATGCGAGAGTATGCAACACCAAATTCGGAAGGAATGTAGTAAAGGCCTCGAGGAGACGTTGCAGGTTGATTACCTTTTTGCAAGTGTTTCTTCTCGTTTCCCTTACCAGTTCTAAAACAAAATCTCCACGCAGCGGATCAAGCCGTCCTTGGACCACAAGCTCTGAACTTACAACAGTGTATATCAACATCACATCCGTTTCTCGGCTGGCCACAGGTTTGCGAATCCGGTGATACCTGGCCACATAAGGGGACGAAACTTCGGCTCGGGGAACCATACGAGAGAAGCACCAGACAGAGAATTTGGTTTGGGCACATGGTGCGTCGACTTATCGTGAATGCCACAACCTCCAACTGAAAGAATTCCACGGGTATGATCATGTGGACTGGCAACACTGGCCGTGACTGAGTAGCACTTCCTGCCTCTTTTGGGTTCTGGACACATCTGAAAAGACCATCAACGCACGCATTGTCTTCTAGAATTGCCGATCCCGTATATCCTGTGTGGCTTGCACCCTATCGAGAAGGTATGGTAGGAGATACTCGAGAATCCTGACACTGTGGATGCCTGGGGTATTGTAACATCGGTGGAGGGCAAGAAGTAGCAAGCGTGGCATGAATTCGTCTCGGTTCGAGCGAGGTGTGATACAGTCCGATCGAGTAGAGAAGCCGTACATCAACAGAAGGCTACTAGATAGAGATATCAGGGATGTAGTTCGATGCAAAATTCCGACAATCGAGGAAGTTGTGGACATTGACTGGTGTCATCCGAGCGCATACAAGCACACAAGGTACAACGAACAACGAACCGCAGTTTGTCAGCGGCGGCGGCGTTTTTTGGCTTAGTGGCTGCTTACCGAGCTCCGGAGACCTTTAGGCGAGGCTGGTGGAATTTAGGGGCTGATAGGTGGGCAGGCGCCTGGGTTCTTGGGATACTAGTGGCTCTTGTGCCGACAGAATCCCGACTGGCTGACGGGTGGCTGTGATCCATGGATGCTGGCAGGTTCCAGCAGCCACAGGCTGCGGCAAACAACAACCATGGCTTCGTCATTCCCAAATGGCACAAACTTTCCCATTTTCCCACTCCCCCCCAGCCTCCCACCTCGTCCCCTCTTAAGCATTTCCTTGACTCATCTTGTTTCGACGCTCTCTTCTGCGAACATTTCCTTCTTGTACAGACCTTCTTTGTTGCGCGTCGTTCGTGTGACGTTTCCGGAGGCTTTGAGAGTCAGCCGGTGTTACACCACGCCTTGCGCGCTTCTCGACTGAACTCCGAGAAGTGCCTTTCGTTCAGCCCTCAACCCTGTTTCATTTCGGTTCAGAGAAGCCGCTGATCTCAGTTGAACCTCCTCTCGAGCCGTACCAATTTCTACCGGAAGTTCAGCATGGCGCCGACGACCCCAGCTTTCGAAGATGTCGAGATGAACTTGAGCATCGATGAATCGCCGTCGTACACCGAACCACCGGCTCGCATAGCTGATCGCTTCCACCGCAAGTCCTCTGTCCGACGGAAGTCCTCTGCGAACTCGTCCCGCCGCAGTTCACTGTCGTCGATCCATTCCCATTCCTCCGCGCTGTCTAGTCATGGCGGACCCCGGAGCACCCATATTGCACAACACCTTCGACGAGCATCCATCATTGAGAGTCGGAAAGCGCGCCTGGCCGACCGTGCCGCTCATGCTGAACAGGTCAGGCTCCGAGCCGCCGCTGCGAAGGCGGCGCAAAGGGCATCTTACAGCGAGGAGAAGGCTTTGGCGGCGCAGGCTGCTCGGGAGAAATTGCTCGCTGAAATTGCAGCCCGCTGTGAGGAAGAAGTAAAACGAGCCAAAAAGATCGCCGAGGAGACGAAGGAGAAAAGGGCCGCGGAATTGGCCAGGCTTAA